CGATCTACAACGAATTTTCATCTTCAAATTTCAGTCAGACATATCGATCTACAATCTACCTTCGTCATGTCTTCAATGTCTGTAGAACGCAGCTAAAGCATTCTGAGAAAGCTTCTGAATAATTATCTCGGTTAAGAAAGAGTCCAGTAAGCCATTGCAAATTAAGGGCACCGGTGATTTACTTCATGCGGTCGTTCAACACTTGATTTCAGCAGTTTATTGACTTAAAAAATACAAACAGAATTGATCTGATGATAGCTTCTAGTTTCTGTTCTGGTTACAACGTAAAAATAACAATGAAGCGAAAAAACGTATCCCTTGTTAACAAGTCAACTATATCTGGGATTGTTTGGGGGGGGGGAGCCACCATAAGAAGGGCTTTTGACAACCCTCGTGTGTTCCTCTCAGGAAGGCTTTAGCTACGCCCCTGCTTACGCACAAAGGCAGATCAAGTTGTCTACGTTGAATGCCGGGCAACTAAATGCTTGTCGGCCAATTCATGCCTAAGGCAGGCAGCTTCTCGGAGGCTTTTTCCGCTGTGGTGTGGTGTAAGGGAAGATAATTCGGGAAAAGGTACTGTTGCATGTGTCCAACATATGTTTTGCACCCCATTTAGTGCCAAGGCTGATCCAGAAATATGAAATAAAGCAGCAATACGATCAGCTCGCAGTTAGTCATGCGGGAGACAGCCGAGCCAGGGCAGTGGCCGCCCACGACGGACAGAGCAGGGCCTGGATAAGTAATATATGACAGAAGGGCCTTCATTCCCTGGCTTGATTTTTTAAGGAGAGTTTCCAGTTTCATGGCTTTTGTCTCATCGTTTTCGGTAGTTTTAAGCTTCTGAATTTGCTTCCGCCTAAAATGATGCGACAAGTATCTTATCCCTTGAAAATCAGCCAGCGAAATGGAGGCGCATAAAAATATGTTGCACTGTGAGCCATGCATTCACTTTCGAAATTATCACCATCCCATGTGATGGTGATATCATATTTCACCACCATCCTATCAAAATTATCACCATCCTATCCTATATCTTCGCATCTACCCTGTGGGGACACATGCCTTCTCAATGATCCAAAATGCCTACCCGTTCGTGGAATTTCGCCTCCCCAGGAAAGGCAGTGTCGAAATGGATAAATGATCCTGGGAAGCTGGATAGCCTTATTTGCCGAATGACAAATGGGTCGAATAGGACAGATTGTACACTAGTGGGAAACAGGTCTAGATACATATCTAGCACAGTATCCATGACATCTGAATAAAGAGCAAGTACGCCCTGAGTTTGCCTCCCCTCCCCCACCAACTTCTTGAAACGCTCCTACTCTTATGCTGTGGTAGGCACTGTACGAGTGTGGTACCCAGCCTGAATGTCACTGTGAGGAGTGCACGAATCCAAGAGTTGGAAAAATAGTCCGTGAAGCTTCAAAGTACTCCATGTACCATACTGGCACTTGTACCAAAGCACGCCAAAAGCAAGTGAGATGGATTGATCTACCATAATTTCGATCTCGGATGCTTTGGCACAGTTTTTCAGGTTTTTGTTTTTAACTTTATTGGTTCTATACAAAATAATGCCAAAATTGCTATGAAGGGTTTGAAGATTTGCCTTGACGTAGCTGCGACGGTGCCCTGACCTTGGATGACAACTGCCTCGCCACTAACACCAGGCGCAGCCACAGCCTTGGCAGGGGGCACAGGGTTGACAAAAGGCCCCTGACGGTGAGGTCCCCCAATCGTCAGACATGACAAATTTATTAATGAGGGCATGTTTCCATTCGATTCTGTTCATTTTTATCTCCTATAACTGGGCTGGAAGCCAGAAGCTACTGCGAGATCAACACTGCCTGATGTTTAAACAATGAAATGAAAAGATCATGCGTTAAGCGACTGCATGAAATGGCACAGGCGTACGAGAAGTCGCGCACGTTAGGGACTTTCGGGTGCTTTGACTGAGCGGGCGCATAGTAGCCGCACACACCTTTAGACGTAATCGATTGCTATTTATTTGTGACGTACGCGTTCCACAGGTAAAACCTAATTACGGAAGCAGTCGAGTTTTAAAAACAATAAATATACGATACATGCACAAACAAAAATCTAACCAAACGCACACACACACGCACCTGCACATTACACACAGCTGCACATCAAGTCATTGAGAGAATGTTCCATGTGTGCCGGCGAACCTAAATAAATCAGATCTGAATGATTTTGTTGGATGAAGTCAGTTGAGGGACAATGCTGCAAAAAATAATCGCATGCAAGCAGTTTTCTTCGTCGACACCGCTAGGTGTCGGCGATAACGCTCACTCTTCGCACAATCAAACGCTTTAAAGCTTCACGAAGAAATCGGTAACAGGCACACGTAATACTTAACAGATAAACAAGCGTATGCGGGGCGACAGGTGCTCGGTCTCGCGGTAGAGTCGACCCGGCTCCGTGAGCAGCTGCAGGGCGCACCGCCGAGCCGTTCCTGCCGTGCACGAGATGTGCGGCCTCAGCGTCTCGCCAGAGCCTCGGAACGTCCTGCATGCCACTCACGAGGCGGCTTGGGCTCTGCCGGCACCGTGTTTCGCGAACGCGTCCAGACGAAAGGGCAGATGCCGATCCCTCCCCCCCCCCCCCCCCCCCTGAGAACGACGATTACGCCAGTCGTCCGAGCGTGTCGAACGTGCAGCATTTCGCCCGCCGCGGCGTGAGCGTTTCTATGGACGGTATGATGCGAGTGCACTGCGCTTACGTACGTGTGCGTGGCTTTAAGCGTGCATCGCGGGCCCCGGCGGATAGTTGGTTTAGAGTCTTGTCGCCAGGCAGCGGGCACCCTGGCTGCCGGAAACGCCGGCGCTGGTGCCGAGGCTGGCCGCCAGGCGGCGGAAATTGCCTGACAGGTGTCTCGGGTACTGCAACCAGACAGTCATTACGTACGGAGGGAGGTGGGCGACCCGCCCCAGGGCGAGCAGTGTCGGTCGGCCCCCCGGTGCACTCCGTGCCATGGTCCCTCCGGGATAGATCGGGGGCCACGACCCTATCTGTGCTACCTGCCGGCCTTTCTGACCGAGTGGTGTTATCGACCGTTTCAGTCAAGGATGCGCGAGCCCCACGTCAATACAGTACACGAACGACACGCCCTTATACGGTAGGTAGGAATACCCAATGTAGTGCAGAGTCCGCTCACCTACGTCCAGCCTCTGTGGCCACCCATTAGCCACCACCCACTCCATATAGTGGTACCAGCGCCTGACGAGCGATACTTCAGACCTTCAGAAGCTCGACCCATGAGTCAATAACTCGACGCGCGATACAACCAGGCTCGCGTTTTGCCGTCGCCAAGGGGTCGTGACTTCGCGCGGCGCCGAGTTTGCACCTGAGAGACGCAAGATACCAATCCGTCAAGGCGGTTGCGCATCAATATGAAGGGAAACCCGTGCCAAGTTGGCATTCGGCACCTGCGGCGGGCGTCAATTGCAACGAAAATAGTCAAACGGCGCCATAGGCAATCCAGGCGTCGGCCACGCAGCAGACACACGACTGCCACTTCCCTCGCCCAGCCTTCTTCGATGAATGATTGTTCACCAATGCAGTGACCGCGTTCCACACTAATCGGCATTTCCACGCTGGGACGAGCATTCTCTCGCCCGTTATCCTTACCTGAAGAATTTTTCGTCGAGCCATTGGCGGCGCACCGGCGGTTCGCCGTTGGAAAATGAACGCACAGAATCTCAGTACTATTTTGATAATAAAACACCTTAGCAACTTGCATGGCACGTTTATTGCACAGTATCAGACATCGCACTAGCTCCTTAACGTTGTGTTCCGCGGGTCACAATCCCCCCCCCCCCCCCCCCCCAACGCACCCAGCCGGTGCCAGCGTAAGACACGTATCACGATATGCAGCATTCCCCGATGGTTCACTCTGCTGGTGTTGTAACGCCGAGTGCAGATCAAGCGTTGGTGCAGGCACGGCCAACTCGGGCGATGCACTCCAAGCGACGAAACGGATCTCACGCCTGCAAACGAAAATTGTTGCCTGTTGTTTATCTTCAGAACGATGCCCGCGACTCCTGAGCCCCAGAAACACAATTCTGCCCGCGCACGCGCGTGATTGTCGCTAGCGTCGGAGAACCAGCACCTCCCGAACATGTGTCGACCGCTTCACGCCAAACAGCGTACAGCTCCGCGCCGCCCCGAAACGCCACCAGCTCGTTCGAATATGTGCATCCCTTATACTTGATGAATTGTCACAGCGCGACAGTCACCATACAGGAAGGAGATAGATATTCTATCGCAGCGATATGGAGGATGGTTGAGCACAAGGCCACTCAACATCCAACGAGCACTGCATGGACCGACTAGTACGTTCATGATTATTTTCATCTACATGACATTGTAATGCTACCTGTAATCCCCTGAATTGCCATCCAATGTTTGCAGCTTCAGCCACTTCGATAGTTCCTCTTAGGACCACGGGTTGGCAACACGGAGAACACCCGCGCCCTCAGCAGGGCGGAGCTCAGCAAAGGAAAATAGTCGCGGTGTGCATGACCGAACTGGAAACCGCAGAGTAAGCCACACAGCCGCTGCTTGGCGGAACACAGAACACCCAGCCGCATTCAACAATGAACTTTTCACATCCTCGAAAGTTGAATAAATGGGATAAGTCACACATTAGTGACTGGAAACACCCATCCACCCATCGCGTCCAATGACGTAGGTCGGCCGTTCAGCCCTACTCACCGATGACTTGAACAGGCCGTGAATGCCGGGAATTGAACGCTCGTCCGGGCTGATTCGTGACCACCGGTCCGGGTGACTTAGTACCCCGCTGAGATACAAAGCGAACACCATTAGTCATTGATACACAGCACAACAAGCGTGCAAAGGCGTCGTTTATGTCAGACACATGAATGGCGTCAAATATCGATCAGACGGCAATTCCTATCAGTGGAGGATCATCATTTTACTTAAGGTCGCCTGCATGTACAGTATAGTAAGGTTAAGTGAAGCGCATGGTGGATATATGACCTCAGATGCGCCTCTAAAAGACGTCACAGTCACTTTGCACGAAACGCACCTCCGGTGAACACCATCCTCATCCGGGGTCGGGCCAGGCGTCTAGCATCTTCAGTCAGCTAGACCCCGCGCAGGGAGCAGCCTTTCCCTGAAACGAAAGGACGAGTTCTACTGAATGTTCTGTTCATCGTGCGACACATGAAACCGATTTGGCACTCCCGAGTCGCAATCTACGCGGGCAGTAGCCGTACGGGAACGCCGAAACACAGATGGAAGCATTGTCAGTCAAGGAAATCGCGGCACAGCCGCGGCGTGCCACTCCCTCTCACCCACCCGCCCCCAGAAGACAAAACAAAACAAAAAACGAGCAAAAAGCTCTATACAGTCAGTTAAAAAACCAGCGTAGCCAGGCGTACAAAATAACAGGCGTGCAGTGATTGTCGCTAGCGTCGGAGAACCGGCACCTCCCAAACATGTGTCGACCGCTTCACGCCAAACAGCGTACAGCTCCGCGCCGCCCCGAAACGCCACCAGCTCGTTCGGATCTGTGCATCCCTTATACTTGATGAATTGTCACAGCGCGACAGTCACCATACAGGAAGGAGATAGATATTCTATCGCAGCGATATGGAGGATGGTTGAGCACAAGGTCACTCAACATCCAACGAGCACTGCATGGACCGACTAGTACTTTCATGATTATTTTCATCTACATGACATTGTAACGCTACCTGTAATCCCCTGAATTGCCATCCAATGTTTGCAGCTTCGGCCACTTCGATAGTCCCTCTTAGGACCACGGGTTGGCAACACGGAGAACACCCGCGCCCTCAGCAGGGCGGAGCTCAGCAAAGGAAAATAGTCGCGGTGTGCATGACCGAACTGAAAACCGCGGAGTAAGCCACACAGCCGCTGCTTGGTGGAACACGGAACATCCAGCCACATTTGACAATGAATTTTTCACATCCTCGAAAGCTGAATAAGTGGGTTGGCAAGTCACGCACTAGTGACTGGAAACGCCCATCCACCCATCGCGTCCAATGACGTAGGTCGGCGGTTCAGCCCTACTCACCGTTGACTTGAACAGGCCGTGAATGCCAGCAATTGAACGCTCGTCCGGGCTGATTCGTGACCACCGGTCCGGGTGACTTAGTACCCCGCTGAGATACAAAGCGAACACCATTAGTCATTGATACACAGCACAACAAGCGTGCAAAGGCGTCGTTTATGTCAGACACATGAATGACGTCAAATGTCGATCAGACGGCAATTCCTATCAGTGGAGGATCATCATTTTACTTAAGGTCGCCTGCATGTACAGTATAGTAAAGTGAAGTGAGGCGCATGGTGGATATATGACCTCAGATGCGCCTCTAAAAGACGTCACAGTCACTTTGCACGAAACGCACCTCCGGTGAACACTATCCTCATCCGGGGTCGGGCCAGGCGTCTAGCATCTTCAGTCAGCCAGACCCCGCGCAGGGAGCAGCCTTTCCCTGAAAAGAAAGGACGAGTTCTACTGAATGTTCTGTTCATCGTGCGACACATGAAACCGATTTGGCACTCCCGAGTCGCAATCTACGCGGGCAGTACCCGTACGGGGACGCCGGAACACAGCTGGAATCACCGTCAGCCAAGGAAATCGCGGCGCAACCGCGGCGTGCCACTCCCTCTCACCCACCCGCCTCCAGAAGACAAAACAAAACAAAACAAAACAAAAACGAGCAAAAAGCTCGTCAGTTAAAAAACCAGCGTAGCCAGGCGTACAAAATAACAGGCGTGCAGTGACTGTCGCTAGCGTCGGAGAACCGGCACCTCCCGAACATGTGTCGACCGCTTCACGCCAAACAGCGTACAGCTCCGCGCCGCCCCGAAACGCCACCAGCTCGTTCGGATCTGTGCATCCCTTATACTTGATGAATTGTCACAGCGCGACAGTCACCATACAGGAAGGAGATAGATGTTCTATCGCAGCGATATGGAGGATGGTTGAGCACAAGGCCACTCAACATCCAACGAGCACTGCATGGACCAACTAGTACTTTCATGATTATTTTCATCTACATGACATTGTAACGCTACCTGTAATCCCCTGAATTGCCATCCAATATTCGCAGCTTCGGCCACTTCAATAGTTCCTCTTAGAACCACGGGTTGGCAACACGGAGAACACCCGCGCCCTCAGCAGGGCGGAGCTCAGCGAAGGAAAATAGTCGCGGTGTGCATGACCGAACTGGAAACCGCAGAGTAATCCACAGAGCCGCTGCTTGGTGGAACGCAGAACACCCAGCCACATTCCAAAATGAACTTTTTACATCCTCGAATGAACACATGAAACCGATATGGCACTTCCGGTCGCAATCTTCGCGGGCAGCAGCCGTGCGGGAACGCCGAAACACAGATGGAAGCATTTTCAGTCAAGGAAATCGCGGCACACCCGCGGCGTGCCACTCCCACCCACCCGCCTCCAGAAGAAAACGAGCAAAAAGCTCCATACAGTCAGTTAAAAAAAAACAGCGTGGCCAGGCGTACAAAATAAGAACATATACCATTGGTACTAGGAACTATAATTACCAAGATTTCAATGAAGCCAAGAAGTCAACACTTCCACTACCAAATGTAGCCATCCTTGCTCCAACGAACTCCGACATACAACCGAATATGCACGGGCATCGATCACGAACCCAATCGGCAGTGCCTACGATTAGGAACGCCACGCTAACACGGCGTTCTCCGCACCCGTGCTCCAGTTAAGTCTCATGAATCCAATAGGTAGTTTGCCAACGATCAATGGCGCCATGCTAACACGGCGTGATTATCCAGGGGATGACAAAATTAGAAATGACGCTAGGACATGGAGACAAAGTCTGATGGCGCCACCCGAATGTCCAAGCCGCCTTGACTCAACCCTAACAACGCCGCTCGCGGTCGCCCGGATGAGGCACGTCCTTTATCAGCCAGCTGGCCAATGATCAATGGCTCCGCTGATCGATCGGTGACGTCAGGCGTGTGCCTGCCCGTCCGGGGCCTCACCTCCGGCCGGCGCCGTCTCCGTCGCGGCGCGTCCGGTCCCCGCCCGCAGCGCGACAGCTATCACCGCAGGCCTCCTGCGAGCGCAGGACGCCACGTCAGCCGATATTTGGAGCACGGCGGAGCCGAGGCGTGGGGCGTGCAGTCAGACACAGAGGCGACGTCAGTTGTCGATCAGACGGCAATTCCTATCAGTGGAGGATCATCATTCCGCTACGGGCAATTATGTGAAATCGAGCCAGCAACTAGCCACACAAAGCTGCAGCATGCGTGCCCCATTCCAACAACTCATGCCGCGAGCCCGGGCGGAACGCGAGGGATCTGCCTGTGGCATTAATCGCGTGCTTACCCGGTCGGCGCCTCAGGTGCTGGCGGGCCGTCGCTAGGGATGGGCGAGCGCGCCATCCTTATAGTCGCGCTTCTCTCACCCCGTCGCCGCGCGCCAGCCGCGTGCCCGGCGTCGTCGGTCTCCTGCGAGCACGCGACGCGGTTACCGGTGCTCGGGACGCGGCGGGGCTGGGAAGCGGCGCATACACTCAGACACAGAGGCGACGTCAGTTGTCGATCAGACGGCAATTCCTATCAGTGGAGGATCATCATTCAAGCGCTGCGTGCATGCACACCTCGCGCCAGACCGGACGCTACACCCACACCAGCTGACAGTGCTTACCCGGTCGGCGCCTCAGGTGCTGATGGGCCGTCGCTGGGGATGAGCGAGCGCGCCATCCTTATAGTCGCGCTCCTCGCACCCCGTCGCCGCGCGCCAGCCGCGTGCCCAGCGTCGTCGGTCTCCTGCGAGCACGCGACGCGGTTACCGGTGCTCGGGACGCGGCGGAGCTGGGACGCGGCGCATACACTCAGACACAGAGGCGACGTCAGTTGTCGATCAGACGGCAATTCCTATCAGTGGAGGATCATCATTCAAGCGCTGCGTGCATGCACGCCTCGCGCCAGACCGGACGCTACACCCACACCAGCTGACAGGGGACGTCCCGACGCTGGAGTGGGCACACGTGCGCGTCACCGACCGTGAGGCGAACCGCGCCAAACCCCCGTCCGAGCCTCACCTGGGTCACAGGACAGTGTCAGCCAGCGGGGAGAATCCAACGAAGGTACTGCCTCCGTGCCATTCGGCACGATGACGTCACACGCGCCTGAAAAACACAGCACGTCAGCATTCACGAGCACTATTCAGAGCCTCAGCAGAGGCGGTGCATCGCCCGTAGACACAATTAGGGATAAGAATAGTTTCCCAATAGCCATGCCCAGCACGGGAGCAGATTTGAGCAGAAGTGTCATCACATGCAAGTCGCAATATCCATTACATTATCAGGCGTTACATAGCTCCCCACCAAGAGTTAATTCGTTCCGCGTCACAAATGCCTCTTATTACTCCAGCACAACGAACTTTTTCGTAAAAGACTATTTCGTAAAAGCTGAGCAGGTGGAAACGAACCGAATGATAAGGCACCTCCCCACATTCCCTCAAATGCGTTATTCGTCCTCCATGATCTACACGTCAATCTACCTACGCAATAATTGACCAACGTTGAAGAGTTTAACAGGGTTCATTTGCACGCACCGTGTGGCGGGTGTTCGAATCTCTGGAACTTATCAAAGTCAGAAATATTGGAAAACTTGCTCTAGAAAATTCAGAATGGACAAAACGGATGTACTCGAGCAAAAGCAGGGGCTGCTCGCCAAACACTCAAGTCCTGACACAGTGTTTTGGTTTTTAGTTTAGTTTGGTTTTTCAGTTCCTTTTTATTTTTTTCGCAGTCGTCACCGCGCGATTAATTTCGCAAGTTTGGAATACCACATCCCTCAACATATTTCATGATTCTATGAACGAATCCCGCATCAGCAGCCGAAATGCTGCAGGACGTCGTTTCCAGACAACTGCTTAAATAACCACGCAGTGACGGCGTGTTTTTGACATAACGGCGCGCCCTCCCTCGCATTTACCTCGCAGCGGGGCCGAACCAAGCGGACGGCGGAGTACGTCTTCACGCAGCGAGCTGAACCCGGTACCCCACCTGCAGCTGTTTCGAAGTTCGGGGCACGCCTGTATCGGAGGCACGTCAGTAATCTGGTACCGTCTCAGGGCCAGCCTTTATCGGAGGCGCCTCAGTAATCTGGTATCGTCTCAGGACCCTCGACTCGGAGCCTGCCACGCTCGGGTCTCTGCTCGCCCCGGACTGATCCGTTCGACAAGCTGTACGCGCCACAGTCGACCCCTGCTGAGCGGCTCAGGCAGGTCGGTAACGAGCAATTTAATGCAATGGACCGACGACCAGTTTCCAGCCAGTGCATCCCGGATCCTCCCAGATGACCTGTCTGTTGATGTTGATGTTGATGAGTCTGTGCCTGCTTGATGCTTGTCGGTGGCCGTGCGCATGCCTCTCCGTAAAATATTGTGCATAATGCCACGACGCGTTTGTAGTCTGCTGTCGTTACGTAGCCGAAGGCTTCGAGCAATAATGTTCTCTTTAATTCATCCTAGGTCCACCCAACCATTTCAGCAGCGTAAGCCCGCAGCCCAGAGTGCTAATCGTAGGTTAGACAACTAAAACCATAGCCAAAGACCCAAGTCACGTCCAATCTCGCGCACCACATATCACCGCTTCCATATTGCAAGCCATGTAATGACCCGGAACGCCCCAATGACGGGACAAGCAACTCTGTCCAGTTCCTTTCCCGGCAATGCGCACAAACTTTTTTCTCGAAAAACGGGACTGGTAGCCTCTGCCGCCACACCTCACCCAGCTTATGGTTTCAAGCATCTGTCGCTCTTACGGTTGGGCTAGACTGACTAATTGAACTATAAGCCTAGTCTAATGCCTTAGTATCTAAAATATATGACAAGTATGTAACAACACTAAAGCGAGGGCGATACGATAGTCCGAATATTCATTCCATTCGTACTATTATGTCGTCTGGATCGCTCACAAACCTCATTGTCGGCACCGGGATGACATGTTACGCTCATAAACCCTCGCCCTGATACGAAGGGGGGCCAACAAGACTACTAAAGCTTTCACGCGCAAACAAATTGTCGGCTCCGGGATGACACGTTAAGCTCATTAACCCTCGTCCTGATGCGAGGGGGTCAGTGTAATCTACTAAGGCTTTGGTGGTACCTTCCTGGCATGCTGCGCGGCTGAGTGCCTCTCCTGAGTATTCTGGAGCATCAATCGTATGTGTTTCGAAACCAAAACCTAGGCATTTTCGGTTTCTCGGCAGCGACGATCTTTTGGAGCGCCGCACGGCCGCCTCACGGCCGGCGCGGACAGCAGACCAATTCGCCGACCGTGCGAGACGGGCAGACACTTCTATCAATAGCCCCACATCATACATATGTGCTCAGCATATTTACAACTAGGGAAGACCTCAAATTGAACCAGGAACACACCTGCTTCTGTTCATCTTTACGTGGCATGGTCTTGCATATGGTCTAAACTCCATTGGTCAGGACTTTAAAAAAAAATGTGACCCTGACCTGGCATAATAGGGTCAATTGTTGACCAAGCACATCAGGCTTACCAATTGCGATACGACTTTGAGGGTTATCAGCTGATTTTCCGCCAGACCTTTTTTAAAATTTTGCAAACGGCATCAGCCAGGGGTGGTATCCAAAACAACGGTGGCATTTGGCCGGAGCGCTTTCTTTCATTTGTTCGGGTATATTTATATATGTATCATTTGTGTGGCAAAGGTTGTTCCGAAGAGGAAAGGGTGAATGCACTGTCGGCCCCGCCGTCCCCAGTCGATGGGCCTGATCGGGACGGTTCGCGGTTTGTCGCAACGGCTGGCTCAGCCAAGGTGGACAGGTCATGCCCTGCGGCGCCAGGCGAAGGCGACATCAAGTTGGGCGCAGACCGGGCGGGGGCGACCGAGATCAGACTCGTGTCCGTTTACATGCGTGCCGTTTAATGGCAGTCAAATTTCTGCTACATGCAACGCCCGTGCAATTGCAAACGGACTAGGGTAGCGCCGGAGTGGAGAGAACAGAGAATTTTTAGGCGCGGTGTTATACAAATGTAACACCGCGCGAATATGTCGTGTCTTGCACAGGCAGTTACTACATCTAGCTAGGGACGTATAGCGAAAGGCTCATGGTGCACTTAACATAAACATCCTCAAAAATAGAGCAGTGCGCCTCCAGCAAAAATTAACACCACCTTGAAATTGACTGACGGAACGTAACGAGGTTACGCAGGTCCGGGTGATCTCCGACCGGATTGTCCAGCTAATTTCTTCGATTCACCAGGAACGTTCATATGCATGTAAGACGACTTGGGGCTCTTCCATCAATTCCTCGCACTCCGGAATCTTTTTTCAAGAAACATCGCGTACCATGCTTAATTTTACCGCTCTCCACTGCGGCTTTACCGGCGACTAAGTTTCCCCCTCGTCGATGTCCATTTTTTGCTTGTATCAACCCACGACGAAATTCATCCTCACCGATATTCACCTTTCCTCTGGTCACTTGCGACTAAGACATCTGACATACTTAGCGCCATCAGCAAGCTGTGCGAGAGTTAAGTCTCGTTTTCATGACAATACATCATCCCGGGCACCCGAACCCAGCGGAAAGCCGGCGACTTTTGACTCAACGCAGGCCCATACCCGCCATCAACACCGCCAAAGTCTGGTTCGTCGTTTGTATGGCCACTCACTCCGCTGTGCCGTAGAGCCCGAATATGCACCTAGAACCAAACCTTGACTTACGTTCCACGCCATGTTTGAAGTACGATTGTGGTGTTCACAGCTTTGACCAGCTTACTTTGCTTCAAATACAACAAAAATCAATCGCCCAAGTCTTGGGTCAAGGAAATACAGTTTCAAGTTTCAGCTACCATGATCACCATCCTGTGAATTCAATACAGAACATTCCGCAAATCACTTCAATGTGACGCTCGCCTTTGAATCCATTACAAAAGTTAAATAATTACGCTTCCTGTTTGAATGGTGCAATCATTTCTAATCCGTGCAATTCCTAAAAATTGCTTCCGGCAGTTAAGGGATAGTGGAAAGCAGAAGGGGTCATCCGGAAAGGCCGAGGACAACTTTTTATCGCAGCTGGAAGACCATCTACAATCACAATCGTTCTTCAAAACCCGCAATATAGTGTCCTAGAATTGCCCACTTTGTGTGTAAAGCAACAACCTATGAGGACGAATTTCTCGCTCCTTTTCCCCATTTTTATCATTTTTTTTTTTAAACTCCTGCCTGACATTGTCTAATCGCACATGCCAAACCCCAAGCAGAGCCTGGTGCAAACACCAGCAGGGCCTGGTCGAGAATTTTAATATCCGCATTTTTCCGCGTGAAACTTGATCACTAAATTGCATCACTCCGGAAAATCAGGAGTAAAAAATTCAAGAAGTCTTCTAAATAAAATCTACAAGATGAATATGACCAATTGAGCACTTCTGTTACCAGATTTAAGTCAACTCAGAAGATAACAAAACTTTTTCCAAAGAAATAGCAGTCTTTGTATTGATTCAACTACTTCTATTTTTCTTGGTACCATACGAGTGTGATCCACTTTACTCTTCCTTCCTTTTCGATTGCCTTTAGAGGTACCATTTGTTGCCTAAAATTTTGACCAATTCCTCCGCAAAATGCCAACTCCAAACTTACTCGTATTTCATACATACACTGAGTTAATTTGCCAGCCGCCCAAACATGTTTGATATGCACCCAAGTGAACAATTCACAGGAATGAAGGAGACAATTTCAGCACGGAGTTCATTTTAACCGCCATTTTTACTCTGTTAAACCCTCGGTTAACCGATTTCTTGGTTCATGGCGGTGCTCAATTATGATAAATCTAAATCTTTCGTGCGTCCAATTCACCAGGCTACCTGACAAACCTATCCTAACGCCGCCTTACAGAGCTTTTGGGACAGACCTGACGCAGCTAATACAGAAGTGCTTGGTGGCGAAATTCTGTCCTCTGGAGATGTTTACCCCGCACGCCTCTTACTTGTTTCGCATTTTAATCTCGTAGGTTGGTGGTCTTGTGGGTAGAGTCCTGTCATAAGACCAATTATGCCACAAGGCACGCAACGGGCTTATTTTGTTCCATATTCTTGAATATTTGCCCCAAATCCTCTAAGCGGCCCCTCACGGCTGCTTTAACCAGATTCTCGCAACAAAAAGTCAGCCCATCCCAATTGAAATGTGAAGCGAACATCTCAAACTTTGTCATTAAATATAAATGAACAAGCTTACATAAAAGCTTTTGCTGCAGCTGAAAAGGCAAGCAGCAATACTGGTATGGTCATCTGAAAGTTATGTCACTTTTAGAGAAGAGATTGTTCCGTGGACCATATCCATTATTGCCCTTGACATGGGTTAGCCATGGCAATAAGTTAGTTGTTCAAAGAGATTTGAAGTGTTTTGATTTGTGTGTTGTCAGCTTTGTTTGATATCAATAAGCATACACCACTGAACTGAAAAAACGCAAGCTAAAACCAGCCAAAAATTAGTTTTATCATGTTTTTATCACAACTGCTGCTGTCAACAGAAAGGTGAGTTGAGATGTTAACGTATGGGATATTCTGAGTCAGGTTAAGTTGGTTAAGTGCATGGCAAGTAGCAATGAGAATTGTGCAAGAATCAGTAACTCACAACTGCTGCTGTGACACGAACAGGCTAGGCAGGATGAGATGAAGTAAGGCCCCTTTAGGTTGGGCATAGTTAGGGTACTTTCATGGAAATAAGCATTGGTATTTAGTAGGAAACAGTGACAAAATGTTTGTTTTCCCCGACCCCATCTTAAAGAAGCCAGAGGTATGTCTATTGTGTTTGACTTGATGATAGGCTGATGTGTGTCCAAGTTGTTTTTTTTGTTCGAGTGTTTCATGTTTGTTGAATTTTCCGTTGTTATTTTGTTACCGAATTCCTTCGCTTTGCTTTGTCTTAAAAGTGCTGTGGAAGGGAAGCGCAAATTGCAACATCAAATTATTGGTGTTAATAATTTGTTATGCTCATTACAGTCATCAAATTACTATGCTGAAATGTATTCTGTCCCACTTTAATGGAGTTAATGTTAAAACCCAAAACGTTCTGTCAGGTTTATGATATTCCGTCCATGCCAACTTGAAATAGATGTCTTTGTTTGCTGAAGCATCAGGCACGAGCCCAATGTTCCATCGCTTGTAAATTGATTTTTTTCACTCCCGCACCTTTTTAGCGATCGAATTTTTCACTCCCACCCTAGTTCAAAACGACTCTAGCTCGCTGGCAATATATGAGAACTGCTAGATGCTTTCCCCGCCATATTTCTTTGCTTTCCGGATCTTGTTAGCGACCTGTTTAGCGTCAACCGTGGTGAAATGGAGTTGATGGAACACCATTTCTCCGCTCCGAAAAAGTGCAAACGTCTTGACGCGAAGCTGCTAATTAACTAAATACTCTTGTTACAGCGCGACCATTTGCGTCACAACGGGCAATAATTGAATGCTGCAGATTGTCCTACATTGTAACATTTAACCATATTCACCATACTCCATATTGCATTGTAACCATATTCACTGCAAAGTAATTTCTGGGTAATTAGCCTTTTCGAGCGGCTGACTAACCTGACGACGCGAGGTCCGGTACCATCCGCGACGCTATAATACGAAACAGCACAAAGGATACCACTCACAAACCGCGAAGTTACCACAGACAGCCTTCATTGCAGAATGCATGGCGCTACTTCGATGAGGCGTGACCCTTTGGGTACCTGTTTCGCAATGTATTTCAGTGGCGACAAGGGTTGCCTCCCGCCTTTGGGTCTTTTAGATGTCTGTGCACGTCACGGTCGTCGCCCGGCACGGCCGCGTCGCATTACCTGCCCTGGCGGGGGGTGGCCGCCGCTCCATCGCCGCACCGAAGTCTCTTTCGCAGAAAATCGCACGGCGGCCACGGGGTTAGGTACAGACAATTTATCGCGATTGTTGGCCGCGACTGGACAACTGCGCGATCCACACGCACATACATATTTTCGATAAACAATTTATAAAACTTAAAGCGCACAAACCCGATGGTGCGTTGCCGAATTGTTGACGTGGGTTTTTGGGCACCTCAGTTACGCTGTTTTTAAAAGGCGTGAGCATGCAAATACAGTTGATTACATGTGCTTTCTCTTGCCGACAGTTGTTGCTTGAAGTAATAATCATTCTACGTGAGCTCGCCCCGCTGGGGAAAACGGACTCAGATGGCGGTACCTTATGCGCATCACGAAAACAGAAGTTGCAAGCGAACCTACCCCTTTAGAGACCAAATTAACTGAGAGAAGCCAGCTAAAACATCATGCATTCACTCCTCTCCACATCACAATTCCTTGTAACATCAAGTTTTTTAAAGGATATTCGACATGCTTAGATCTAAACCCATGTCAAATGAATTCCTTAACCAATTTCCGTTCGCTTGCCAGTCACAAGTATGACCATTAGAAGATATTTGGAGTCTGGATGTGACGCTATAATGCACAGCCCACACCCCGCCACACACCCACCGGCGACAAAAACTAAACGTGAGAATCTATCGAGACAATGTGTTTCAAACCCAAATTCCGACTTTTACAAACTTGTTCTAGTCACGAAGTAAAACAAAATGAGCGCCGTCAGAGGAGTCCCAATTTCGCACCGGCCGTCACTGGTGATCTTGCTGTTTTCTCAACGAAATGTCTCCGTCGTTAATCAGGTAAGAACGACACATGACAGCATGCGCTTTAGCTGGGCAATGGTCATGCAACTGAGCTCCATCGTCACCGCGCCATTGTCACCACGCACCATTGACGAAACCCGCCCCGCTTACGTACTTGTCGATCCATGAGATTGGTCAGTCCCGAAAAAATCGTGCCAATGCGTGAAGCAGAAAACCTTAAATCAACCAGGTGGTATCTACGCGCAGTTGCCAGAAAGCGACACGCAATAGAAATAAAAGAAACGCATCCTCCCTCAAAGCGAATGTTTCACCTTTGAAGATAATGGAGCACGCATCACATATGATGGCAGGCCCACTAAAAACTATCGGTATACTTCTCAAGTGGAGAATACTGCTCTCCACAACATATCAATGCCTCACCGCACCTCGCACATTGATTGAGAGCCAATTGACGACAGTTATACGGCGCCCACGAACGTTAGATACGAGGGCCTCCGCAATCATGTTTCTTGGCATTTATCACCGCATGGCCTATGGAATAGTAGGATTTTAATGGCATTATGACGTCACGAACGCCAAGGCGAGTTCGAAATACCCTCAACAACATGCCCTCCCCATTTCCGCGGGCCTGTATAGCTCAGAACCTAGATGGGTTTAGGTCTTATTTATTTGTTGAGTGGTTTTTAGGGCGCGCTGACTACTGAGGCCATGTTGCGCCCATAACAGTCAAGTGACTACCTTGATGTGCCAACGGCCAAAAATCCCAGATCTGTCAAAAATGAAAACAGCTGAGTCGTCACCAATGATGTCCCGATAGGCAAGTAATGGAGCAACTCATCCCAAGTAGCGTAACCGCCTTCGGTTGGTCATCTGGGCTTGAGAGCGCGGCGACTGCCTGGTCATGCAGCACCCAGAGCAAAATGTTGATCAGAACTTTTCAACAGCGTAAGAACCTCCCATGTACAGTACAAACTCCTTGGGCAGGCACATACGAAGTGCACAACTTAAAATGCGATACCCGCGGTTGACTTAAGCTAATAATACAACTGCCATTGCATGCAATGTACACGCTCCTTTCGCAGCACATGCTTTCTACGGATGGACGCACCCAGTCTTCATCTTCCGCCCAAAACTCTAATGAGCCCGCGATCACAAATTTGCAAACATTCAACCGAAGGAAACTTACTTGCTCATCTTGGTCCAAAGCTGGTCCAAAGCTGAAGTATTTCGGCTCATCCCGCCACCGTTCTGCCCTTTCACCTTGTACCACCAAGCCAGATGACCGACCCACCACAGGGCCGACACCGTAGGCAGGGTGGCGGGTTGATATCGCAGCGACATGGAGAACGCCGGGTTAGGACGTCACCCAACATCCAACGTGCACTGCTGTGACACGACCAGTGCTCGGGGGCAGCGGGTCTAGGCGCAGTGCCCACAGTGGGGAGCAGCGAGCCTGCCTTGGCGTGCAACGCTAGTCAAACCGGTAGCACTAGCTATCATATAGCAAATGCAGCGTGGCGGTCCACGCGTCGGCACTCACCTCCACGTTTGCAGTCGGGCGATGCGACGACCAGCCCCGCGCGCCAATTGGCCGGAGGGCGGCGATAACGACCGGACGAGCGACGCTCTGACTGTGACGAGGAGTTGGCTGCTTTCGGCCATCGCGCGGACACGGAGGCTGGCGAGAACTCAACCAGCTGCTGGCAAAGACAAGCGTCCACCACCAACTTAAGTGGGCCATTCCAGATGCTACGCCTGCTGACCGAGTGACACCAGGCAGTGTCGTGCGAGTCTCAGGCTCGGGACGTCAGTAAACGTCACGATTTTGCAGCGTCATGGCCAGCGATGGCGGTGCTCGTCCCGCTGAAGCATCTTCTTAGCGGTACGCGTGTGGTGTATGAAAATAAAGCACTAGTTTGAAAGTGATCGGTTTGTCACTGTCCTGGAGTTAGAAGCCAAAATTTAGCGCGACTTGGCTCGCAAGCGCCGCGGAACCCGGCAGCTTCAAGGATGTGACTGAATATTTTTAACCGATGTTGGGAGTCCGTACCGCATGTTTCAACCGCATCGCCGATTGATTCCTATACGGGCCTGAGCGTCTGGGGCCGGTCTCCGTGATGCTTTTCAGACGCCTCGCCAGACACGAGACCACGCGAATCTACGGGGGACGACATGCTCCAACGTTCTACTTGCGAACTCCCCCGGGCTGCTTCTTCCTTCTAGAATGCAATACTCACCAGCTTGGTATCCACCGCCGCTACGCAAGCTAAGGTGGTTCGAACAGCGGCGGGCGAACGCGTAGGCCGTTCGGCAAGGACAATTCTTGCGAGCAGACCGGGGAAACCAATTTATCCCGTTGCTGGCAGCTAGCAGCTCGACAAAGCGCCAAGAGGCTGGAATTGGCCGCCATCGCCTTTTCCTGTCAACCCAAGCGGCTGCAGGCTTCGGCGTCCTGGAAAATAATTAAGTGTTGAGAGAGGCTGCTCCTTCAGTCCCCTATGCAGCCAATTCCGGAAGTGTTCCGCATGTCTCGAAAACTGTGACAATCTCCCCTGCAGTGAGAATGAACGGTAGTATATCAGGGCTGCCTTATCCAGATGCCACCGCTCACTGACTTCTCCATAGCTCCAGATCCACAAATGTTCTTTCGTCATTTGATTAAGCTCATGCGACTCCAAAACACCTAATATACCATACTTTGCGTGTGCCCACCTTCAACTCCATGGACCCGTCACCGTCGAAATAAAAACCATTCCATGGAGTTACCACGCCATGACGACGCTCCGTGCATCCGAATGCAAGGCTTCACTGTCCTGCGTCCACGGATTTGGCCATGCCAGATTTGACTGATGAGGGGAGCAAACGATCTCCATCACCCGAGTGATCGAGTGTGATTGAACGTGTATTTAGCCGCAAAACAATCATTCCACTGTCCTTTTATTTCACCGTTCGACCAATCCACACCTTGGAAATGTATCTGAACACCGAAATGTTGGGACCAACATTTCAGCCTGGGACTCTCCTCCGCGAACACCGCCTTGCCGCGTCTCTCCACAACCATTTTGCTGAAAACAGCCTCAGCACATCTCCCCTGGCGCGTACCATCTTGAACACCCTCGGCGCATCTCGCCCACTCATCGTCCCCACATCAGCTGGAACACCTCGGCACATCTCCCCCTCTCCCTCACCGCGCCCCGTATGTCGACACGGCCTCAGCGCCGGTCTCCACCCTTGGGGCATTCGCGGGAAATATGGCCCTCCTCGCCACACGAGTAACAGGCCCGGCCACCGCCGCCTCCGCTCGGGCAATCTCGCGAGATGTGGCCTTCTTCACCACACTTGTAGCAAGTTCTGCTGCCACCGCCACCATATCCACCTCCGTAGCCACTGCCGCCTCCACTGCTGCAATCTCTGGAGATATGACCCACCTCGCCACACCTGTAGCAGGCGCGACTGCCACCACCTCCTCCTCGCGGGCAATCACGGGATATGTGGCCCTCCTCGCCACAGGAGTAGCAAGAACGGTTTCCACCACCTCCGTAACCACCGCCGCCACTGGGACAGTCGCGCGAGATATGGCCTTCCTCGCCACACTTGTAGCAGCTGCGGCCACCGCCGCCTCCTCCTCCACCAGGGTAGTACCGAGACATGATCTGGTTTTCAACCTTGAACAACGTAAATTTTGCACCATCGTCATGTTTATCTCAGCCCTATTTCACCGACACTCACAACATAAACCTCACAAATTTATGCATATAAGTTCAATGATAGATGAAGGAAGGATGCAGACATAACAAACCAAGCCCCTTGCAAACAAGCCATGAGATGGGGAAATAAGACACTAAGATGGGGGATCAACACAAAAATTTACAACCAAGACAAAATATGTGCTGAACATGTGAATTGTAACTTCCACACTACAAAAATTTCCACTTAATTTTTAAACCTGCTGCACATGCCCCCAATGTCACTAGGCAACAACTCCACATACACCATATCCACAGGGCATGATGCAATTAACTGCACTGTATGTCCCTGAAATGTCAAGCTCTCATTCATAACACACAAAAGCACCTCAATTACTTATACAAAACTGATTTGTTGCTGTTGGGTATCAACCACATGAGTTACTTGCACCTACCCAAAAATATCTGAATATATATGCCTTGAAGCTTCTTATTGATACACCTCTTTCAGAACCCCTGGTAGCATGGCACACAAGATAATTATGTTCCAGCCATTGCTCTTCAAATCTCCACACCACGACTTGGACTCCATATGTCAGCCGGCACATTAATCATCCAATTTCAGAACCAGGATCAATTCAGGAGCAAATGCCAACCAGATAAGGAGACCACCCCATGTCAGGATACTTCCAGGTGGGCTTATCAGTACCACTTAACATACTGACCTTGTTATCTACAAATCATACAGATACTTCTGTGCCACATCATTCCATACAAAAATTCTCAACATTTCTTTTCCTACTCAAACTTCACAACAGCTAATGAAGATGTTTGAGTTTGAGTTTGAGTTGAGTTTTTTTAGTTGAGTGAGTTTTTGTGTTCACTGAGTTTTTTCCGCAGGTACAATAAATACAAACCATGCAACCGAGGCAGCCTAAGCACATAATATAAAGAGCGGACCATATCCACGCCACCAGGTCCTGCACCCACATGTCTATACAGGACAAGACGTACTCAGAACTTATATCCCAATACTAACCAATTCTTGTATTGTTAATGGCCAACTCTATAACAAGCACTGCATAGCACTATTTGTATATAGCACATTTCAACCTATATTAACTAACCAGCTTAAATTAATTTTTCAAAACAACTTAGATGCTTTAAGAATAATCAGTAGCTATCTTAGGCACCACCGTACAAATACCATGAGTAAAAAGTTATTTTTAGAAAGAAAAATTAACATGGCCACACAGCTTTAACAAACTTAATGTCTTAATAGCCTGGATATACACATGCTGGCAAACAGCCAGCTGCTTCTTTACACCAACACAGAAAAACGAGAACTTAACATATCATATTTTATCCACACACAAAATCTCCCACATCTTTCATATTGTACTTTAAAAAGGAAACAAGAGCTATGGCACACCTTCCAACCCCTACTATGGGACAGCAGATCTGCCATTGCCTATAACACACTTTTGAAATCCTCCTTGAACCTCAACAAATACATGTGAGCAGGGTGACATGATGAACCCCATGGACAGACTAGAACCAAGATCCAGCATACCAAGGTTATGCCAATCAGGTCATTTAAACATTGTTTCAATGTCCTTAACAACTTAACCTCCAAAACAGCTAACCCAACAAAGACCAGTCACATTTTTGTACCATAAAAATAACACAGATACAGTTCACACATCCAATATGGCACAAACACAGCAATGAGGTGAACTGGTGAATGACAACAGGGCAGGCTGAGCGCCTTCAACGCGAAAAGAACCCGCGCAGGCGGGGAATCCCCAGCCCCGTGAGTAGCATCGGATGCTTCGCCACATTCAGCCCCCATGACTTCACGCATCACAGAGTTCACCATTAAAACAAACCAGATTGCAATGAAAACCCCGAACGCTACTCAGCCAGCACATAAGAAACAAGCCTTTCAACCCAGGTCACGAAACTTCGCAAGCCCGTTACGTCCAACAAACCCAACTAATGGCTGCCACGAGCGGAGAAGGTACGGAACTTAAATCTACACGCTGTGATCTGTACACCAATCACCGCCCAATTAGACAACTACGACACTAAACACCAAGTTCGCCATGAGCCACGGCAGCAGCCGGCAATCCACACGCAACTTACGGATATTAACGCGCAGTCCAGCAATCGCCCCCTCTCCTCTCCAGTTCCTGCAACAGAAGGAAGTACGCAGTTACTGCAGCAGCATTGCCAAAATATTTGAGTTTATTTGTCACGAAAGAACTTGTCTCAAACACTTCACATACAGAACGTTCTACAGCCTAAGAAGGAATCTTTTAATTAAATGCACAGCTGCACAATTGCACAAAGTCGTCACTTAAACTTCTTCACTTTTGCATCTAATTTCTGCCCTAACATCAGATGTTTTTTATATTTTGCAAGGAAGTGCGCAGCTACGATGTGCCGCACCGTCATTTTCCAAATTTTGCGCGATGGTTACGATATGCGCGGCTGAGTTTGGTAAAACATATACGACGAAATTTTCAAGCGATTGGCTGACCGAACGCCCCAATCCCCGGTCGGCCGGTGCGCCGCAGGCCCACAGGCCCGTCCCCCCCCCCCACAGACGCTGTGGAGAGGGGGGGGGGAGAGGGCAAGCTCAGGGCGTGCCTCAGAAGCTTTTTCTGGAAACAAGCCCGATGGAGGAGGGGAGGGGCGGAGATTATTTCTCTTTGTGCAAATATCGGGAAGTAAAGCCCTCCAGCTTCCCAGGGTCATCCATTTCGACACTGCCTCTCCTGGGAAGGTGAAATTCTACGAGCGGGTAGGCATACTAGGTCATTGAGGAGGCATCTGCCTTCAAAGGGTAGATGCCAAAATACGGCCTGAAAATGGGCTGGTGAGAGTTTTGAAAGTGAATAGATAGTTCGCAGTACGCCAGGTTTTGCATGCGCTTTAATTTCGTTGCCTGCTATTCGAGAGATTAGGCTTGTTGCAGCATATTAGGCGGAAATTAAGTCGAAAGCTTTAAAGTTCTGAAGACGATGAGACAAAGGGCATAAAATTGGAAACTCTTCTGAAAAACCAAGCCTGGTAATGAAGGCCGTTCTGTCGTATATTCCTTATCTAGGCCCTGCTTCCGTCCGTCGTCGGCGGCCACCGCCCTGGCTCGGCTGTCTTCCGCATGACTGAACGCGAGCTGATCCTATTGCCGCTTTTTGCATATTTCTGGACCAGCATTGCTTCGAACTGGGATGTAAAACATATGTTTGACACATGCAACAGTACCCTTCCGAATTATCTTTCCATACACCACAGCAACCCAGAAGGAAGCCTGCGAGAAGCCGCCTGCCTTAGGTATGAATTGGCCGACAAACATTTCATTGTCCATCATTCGACTTGATCTGCTTTTGTGTGCGAGCAGGGCCGTAACTAAAGCCTTCCTAAGAGGCACACACGAGGGTTGAAAGCCACTCTCTGTATGTTAATCCCACCACAAAAATCCCTGGATATAGTTTACTTGTTAACAAAGGGTATGTATGGTTTTCTTCGTGTTATTGTTATTTTTTACTTGTAACTAGAACAGAAGCCAGAGGCTGCTGTGTGATCAGTTCTGTTTGTATTTTTAAGGTCAATAAACTGCAGAAATCAGGCGTTGAACGACCGCGTGAAATAAATCACAGGCGCTCTTAATTTGCGATGACTTGTGGACTCCTTATAAGCCGACACAATTATTCGGAAGCTTTTACAGAACGTTTTTATCTGCGTTCTTCAGGCGTTGAGGAGATTCTATTTGAATTACGATTCAAATACCAAATGGTATGGTACATACCACGGTTCGATCAAACGTTACAGAATCGTCAGGATTAAGCAGCCGACCCTCGTCCGCGCTCCTTCACGGCACCCAGGCGGCCGCCGCCGCCGCCACCGTCAGCGCTGGCAACAACGCATCTCGTGCTGCACAGCTCGTGCGGCTGCTGTACCTCTACGCGTCGGGCACCTCCGCTCCCCGCGGCCGCACAACATCTACCCCCCCCCCCCCACCCTGATTCTCATGGATCACAACAGCGCATTACGGATCATTGCAACAATGGCACTGCGGCGCCCTCCGCAGGCGGGTGCTCCGGCGCAGTGGCACCAGCTCGTCCCTGGCCGGCCCAACCGCACGATCTGCCGGCCCAGGCGCGTCTACGGCCGCGCCAGCACCGTCCTCCGCCTCCGGTTGATAATCCACAACTGACACGTACATCGGCGGCCCATCGTCGGCACTGTCACCTGTCCCCGTCGCCGTCTTCGCCCACTCCGCACCGAGGCCGAACGTCTCTCACGTGCCACGGCACTCCGTTGACTTCTACCACCTGCCGCAACACCACACCCGTCATACTTCCGACGCTGGCGCGGATTCCGCCGTCTCCCATCGCGGGGGTCACATTATAAGGGTGGACCGCCTCGGCCACAGCACAACGACGCCTCGCACCGGTGACCTTAACGGTCCGGTGGCGGCGTTCTACCACTCCGTTGCCACCCGGCTCGTGAACAGCTCGGAACCCTCATGGCCCTTCCCCAACGCGCCCGCGACAGCGGCCCGCCTGGTGCCCACGAAACACAGTGTCGTTATCAGCCAAAACATCCTCCGGAGCCCCACGCTTGAGAAACAGCTGTTCTAGGTGACCGACGACCTCGGCGGCACCGGCGCGGCGCAGGGGGGCGCCACACGCAGAAGCGGGATGGTTCCGCAGTCGATGATGGTGAGGAAGCTCTGTCCGTTGTGGCGCGTGACGTCAATGGCGACGCGCTGCCACGTGGTAGCCACGCCGAGCGAGCCGTGTCGCCTCCGCAGCGGCGCTGGGTCGATCGAGCGGCACGCATCACAGCCCTCCACCACCGCACGTGCTACGGCTCGCGTGACGTCACGCGACACGTCACGGCGTGCGACGTACGGTGTTCGACGGACCCCTGGGTGACCCGCCCGCTCGTACGACTCTCGGACCGATGCACGTTCCCCGCGCCAATAGCGGCATGCGCCGCGTTATCACCGGGCGGCGGCGGCTCGCCCACGGTCGCCGCGCTGACGCCTGGCGACGGCAGCTCGCCCACAGGAGTCGTGCTCGCATCACGGAGCCACTCCTTGGGCACACGCGTCAGCGTGTCGGCTCGGTTCTCGGCTGATCGCACGAGCGCCACCGACAACTGCAGCCGCAGCTCAGACCAGCTGACAGACGATTTCGACGCGCCGCCGGATCAGCAGCTCACCGTGCGCCTTGGTTCGGAGGCGCGCGCGACCACTAATGGCGTCATCAAGCCAGCGATGAACGGTAGCCGAGTCGGTGCGGAGGCCGATTGTCCGTGCTCCCCAGGCGACGGCCAGGTTGACGCCTCGGATGGCCGCGTCCCGCTCGGCCATGTTGATGTGCATGACTTCATCCCATCTCAGCCAGCACGCGTCCTCGATGACGTCACCGTCCGCCGACCCTACCACGACCCCCGTGGCCAGGGAACTCGCGTACGTTCAGATGACCATGTCTTCACCCTCCACGCACCACGGGCCGGGTCGTCACTGTTCAGGCGTCCTGCGACGTTGTCCATCTGAGCGCGCAGCGTTGCATCCTCGGTGACGGCATCCCACGTCCGCGTCAGTTGGTTCACACGCCGTTTAAACCAGGCCGCTGCAGGCCTAAGCCGTCCGCACACGGGCAGGTGTGCGACCATTTGCCAACACCGCGCAAACACGGCGCGGCGCGTCACAAGAGCCGGCGGCGCGCCCACAGAGTTGTCCCGCACCCATCGCAGTTCTCTGCATTCTTGCCTGGACGCGCAGGCCCAGCAGCCGGGCCCCGCTGGTCGCCCGCTCCGGGGGCTTACAGTCTAGCCCAAACTCCGCGAAGTGGGCCACCACACGCCCTGCACGGAGCACAGCTTCATTTACGAGGAGATAATCCATGTATGGGAAGGCAGCAAGCTGTACGTCCGGGTCCTGCTCCAGCACGGACCGCACAACGGCCGTCATCACCAGAGGGGCGACGTTCAGGCCGAGACCCAAGCGCGTCAAACAAAACCGCTGGCCCCGAATCATCACAGTCCGGAACAGCGAGAGCCACTCCTCTACATGCACCTGCAGGTACGCACGCTTGAGACGTACGCACGTACGTACGCACGCCACCGCCACGTTCGCACCGTGGCGGCGCCATCTCCAGAGCTGATCAGCACACACGTCAGTGTCGGCTGTGCGGGCCGTCACAAAACCGTTCAGCTCGCCGTAGTCCATCACCGGGCGCAACTTGGACTTGTCGCACTGCTGCACGGTCATCAACGGTACCAGCCCCCTCGCCGTCCCATGGCGACCCTCATCATACGGCACCAGCCAACCCTGTACGACCCACGCGTCCAACTCGACGTCATATTCGCGACGAGCGGCTGGCGGCACAGCATACTGGGCGACAGTTTTCAGACACTCCGGTCCCACGCCGTCCGACCATTTCCAACCAACGGTCCACCTCCGCCCCGCCGCGTCGAAGCACACACTGAAATCCGGGGCATCCATGCTCGACGGGACGCGACGCGCGGCCCCACAGAAGCAAACATCAGGCGGGGACAGTACGGCACACCCCCAGCGCCGAGACGCCTGCCACCCCAAGGGCCATGTCCACCCCCAGCGGCCGCTTCCCCACCACCACCGTCTCGAGCGAGGCGCGACGTCCCGTCGGCACCTCCACAACCACACTGCCGACCACGCAGCACCTCAGCTCGCTTCCACTGATGGTAGTCACTCGCACCTGCCGCGGCGTCTACCGCGCGCAGAAGGGGGCGTAGATGTTTTCTGCGCTGCCGGTGTCAATCAGGGCGCTGCACTCCCGGCCATACACCCTCACCCGCGTGACGGGCAGCGCACCGCTCAGTGCTGCGCAGGGGAGGGCGGCGGTGCTGACCCGTCCCCTCCGGCTCCGTTTCCCGGTCGCTGCTGGCACATCGCCGCGATGTGACCGAGCTCTCCGCAAGGCCAGCAGTGCAGGTGACGCGGGGCGCGTGGCAGTTGACTGTGCGGCGACACACGGCGCTGGCCGGGGGACGGCGCCGCGGCCCGTCGCGGCGCTGCTGCTGCCGAGACCCGTTCATCGCTGAGAACGGCACGAGCACGAGCCAGGACGGTGGTCAGGTCCAATCCTTCAGCCCTGGAGCCGGCGCGGATGGTCTGGTGTCCGGTGTCCGACAACCCCGCGACGAACGCGCAGGCCAGCGCGCGCTCCAGCAGTCCACCGAACAGGACTGCCAGCCGCCGGAAGTCGGCTAGAAACACGTCCGCCGCGTCACCCGGATCAGTCGTCGAGTGGCGAACATCTCGTAGGCGGTATACTGATCAAGGGCAAACGCGGAGTTTAGTGCGCCCCGCACAGCCTCCAGGGAGCAGCGGTCGGTCACCGGCAACTGCGACCAGACGTGGAACGCGCACCGCCGGCGAGGCGCAGAGGTATGACCGACTCGGCGGCCACCCCTTCAGCCGGCACAGCATCTGCACGCATCATCCAGCTCACATTACCGGTCCCGTCGTACTCGGGACGACGCGAGCATCGAATGTTGGTGCGGCGGCTGCTACGGTACAGTACGACGGTACAATCAAACGTTACAGAATCGTCAGGACTAAGCAGCCGACCCTCGTCCGCGCTCCTTCACGCCACCCAGGCGGCGGCCGCCGCCGCCGTCAACGCCGACAACAATACATCTCGTGCTGCACAGCTCGTGCGGCTCCCGTGTCTCTACGCGCCGGGCACCTCCGCCCATCGCGGCCGCTCAACACAGGCATCACGGAGGTGGATTGTATGTCGATATGTTTGATTGAAATTTGAAGATGAAGATTTTGATGGTAGATCGAGTGGTCAACAAGTGTTTGAACATGGCAGAGCCATGTTTGTCTGGAAACGTTTAGAATTCAGTCAGGATCGATAAGTGATACAATTTATGCAACGCGGCTTTTAACATGCGCACTCGCAGATGTTAGCAACAAAAATTCAACGCTAGTCGTTGCAGGTTCCATGGGCCACGGTGCGTCGGCCCAGTCGCAAATATTGAACCGTGACCAACAGATGGACGAAAACAATGACGATTCTGAAAAAAGCACCTCTGAACGCTTCAGGACATCAAAGCTTGCATCTACGAGGCAGTCTGGGCGCATATTTCACGTGTGCGATTTTTAGACTGACGATAAGAACGGATTGGCCCTTGAAGTACCGCGAAGTGGTGCTGGAATCTGGTAACGGAATTGAAAGAGTAGAGGTAGAATCTTTTTTCATGTTTCTGTAACTATTAATCTGCCCAGAAGACAGGTTAGCACGGCGCCCGCCGTCTGGTGGCGCTTGAAGTGGCCGACGCCGTCCGGTTATACGGAGGCTGCAACCTAGGGCATCGCTGTCCCTGCTACCGGGGTCGCGGGCGGTCATGTTCAAGCCTTTGATGAATCTTTTCGCTAATCCGTTTTGAAAAAAATGAACATTCTCAGGCAAACGTGAAAGGCCTTGCTCGTTTTTTTCTTCTTAAATTCATTTCGACCCATTTTATTCAACAATGATGAGACCCTCACTCTACTCAACAATAATTTGAGACTCCTCGTTTCCTTCGGGACAAGGGGCTCCTTGAGTGGAACACCAGGGGCATATTACCGGTTCCGGTCAAGGGCTGAAGGGTAACTCCGTCCCATCGCGAAGGGTCTTCTGGCTGTCATTCTAGCGGCACGGGGCGGGATCTCCTGGTCGATCCGGAGGCCATTGGAAGGATATGTCATATCACAGTGCTCCCCTCCCTGATACGGGAAGCCTTCTGACCCGAGCAGTTGGCCCCTGATCAGCACAGGAAACCCCATTCACGCAAAACATCCTGATCGCCGCAGGCGGTCCGATAATTGTCACATATACCCCAGTTCTATGTTTTCGGTATTCTTCATAGGTATTGAGGACCTCCTGAATGTAGATTGTGGATGAACTGGGATCATAGATTTATATTAACATGGCCAATCCATGTTGGTCTTAAAATGTTCCGGATTGATTCAAAATTGATTACGGACAAAAACTATGGCATATGGCCTTGAACATACGCGCTCACAAATCATAGCGACAACAGCCTGGACGCCCGGCATTGCAGTCTCCATAGGCCGTGCGGCGCGGCACGTCGGCCTGTCGCTGTGACACGAAACGATGGGCAATAAACAAACGAAAAATAACGCACCTTGAGGAAGATGGCTGGTGAACTAGGTGAATCCGAATATATGTTTCAGTGTGATGCAAAAGGAAGCTCTACACAACCTTAATCTGAAAAGCGGCGAGGGGGGGGGGCAATAAACGCTGCTGGTTCCCACCTTGAAAAGTGGGGACCATGGCTTCCCTGCCCCATCTCCCCCCCTCCTCCATCCCCCCTCGCCCTTCCCTCATCCATCCTTACCCACCCCCCCTCCCCCCCCCACCCCCCCCCACACCCTGTTCCTACATCCATTGCCTGACTTGACGACTTAAGTGAAAAAGTACAATTTGAGCGAAATTGGTGAAATAAAGGAACCCGGGCAATCCCTAGATCTGGTAGCACATCCGTGAATATGGAGAGTACAACCAGAAATATCTAGGGCGAAGGTGGTCCCACATTCTACGTTTTTCATTCATAATAATATGCTTTGCTTTCATTATGATAAGAAGAAAAATCGCACATTTAGGTAGAATTTCATGCCAACTGGAGATTCCATTAAATCCCGAATATGAACCTGAACATGAGCTAAAGTCTGGTGCCAACTTGACGACCTTTCCAAAGTACACAACTGAGAAGCCTACAAATTAGCGCGATTAGTACATATGTAACGCACAATCAAAACATTGGCATTGAAGGCATTGAACGGCGTTCTACTCACGGTCCTGCTTTATAAGCGCAGCGGTTGTGTGACAGGAGGCGGAGGGAGCGGGACTTGGATCGTTAGAAAGGTATGCACATATTTTATATGAAAGGACCACTGTGCTTGTGTTGTAGGGTATAATAAGTTTGTGACCTTATGCAGCTTGGGACGGGCATTTGTTGGAGTGAGTGAAGGGCTATATTACGTAGCTTAACTTAAAGTGAAAGCGTCAGCAATACCTGTAGAACTGAAAGTACCTGCAAGTTAAGAAAACGAAAAATATGGCATTCAATCTGCAAGTGATGTCCCCTCCTTGTACTCCAGCAAAGTGGATTGAGCACTTTGGAGCATAATGCCAACTAAATTAGGTTGATGAAATATGCTTAAAGGGCATTAACCACTTGGAGAGACACAATAAATGGGTTTGTCCCTAGGTTTTCTCACTTTCTTCTCAAATTTCTGGCTGCTGGGGCTCCCCCATCCCAACTGAATAGAAAAGTAGTTACCAGCATGCATCAATTTGTATTATCCTGTATGATAATTTTAGCTGCTGAATGAAAGTTTCAGGTGGAAATCTAAGTGTCATTAGAGCCATGTCATGTTTAACAGCTCACATCGGTTAGCAGATGAGCGGTAAAAATTATGAAAGTATGAGCTCATATGGTGGGGGTTGACAGGACATGTGGCCATCTTAAGATGTTTGGTCTCTATTTATAAGTGTACTCAAGTTGCAAATCAACTAACTATCAAGCCGGCTGATGTATGTGACAGCTGAGGGTAACATCATGAGGCATAAGTATGATTTCCAGGTGACCACAAACATTAAAAAGCAGATTATCATCCACTTTGCAAAACATGGTAGATTTAGACTGGATTTTACTGGGGTTGTGTTGGCACATAATTGATGTTTGGGGCAGTTATAAATTTTTGGTGTTCAATTCCTCTATTGCAGCAGTTCACAGCAGTTAACAACAACTCATGATATCTTGGGGCAGACATTAAAATCAGACAGAGATTAGAGTCAAAAGAGAAAACACCATATTCAGTACTTAACATAAGAGTAATAATTTACAAAGGTGAGGGTAGCCTGAAGACTAGATTTCTTACATTTCCCTCAGCTGTGGCATAGTTATCTGAATTGCTGCCACATTATTCTGTCCAGATTTATGTCCTGCTAATTGTGCAATCCCTGTAGCCAGAGATATGCCCAATAAATTTGAGGGCTTCAACATACAAGTTGCAAGTCAAGCACCAAATTATTTGCTCTTACCAGCTTCCACTGCTTGGGGTGAACATGTAAATCAGTTGCAGACAACTGCACATCAAGCAGGCCGGGAGTCAGCGTGATGGCTCAGGAAGTTATTGTTTGTAAAAAAGCCACAATGCTAAATGCTGGATGGTAAATCATGAAAATCTGTACAGCTGGTCATTCATAACCACTCAGTGACAGTGACTGCTCAATGTGTGGCGGCAGGCGGCGCCATGGCCGCCGCCAGGGACCTGCCGCGCTGGCAGTCGTGTGGCCGGCGTCAGCGCTGGCCGCCGCGCTGCTACTTCGCGCTGGCCGCACTGCTGCTGATTGCGCTGGCGCTGCTGGAGCTGGCGCTGCTGCTGCGCGGCCTGCTGCAGCCGGCGGCGCCCAGCGCGCTCCGGCTGGACGCCGAGCTGCTGCAGCACGCGCCGCTGCTGCCGCTGCCGCCCGGCGCCGCGCCAGCGCCCGCCCAGGCCAACTGCACCCACTTCAGCTGCATGAACGTGTACC